TCACAGCAAAGACAACTGCAAAGTCCTCTGAGGTCTGTATACACTGCTGCACTTTCTTTCACACATCGCTATGCAGACACTCAATTAAACACACAAAATTACGCGGGCAAGCAAGCTTACCCAAAACCAGCGGCAATGCTTTGCGGTTCACCGTATCAAATGCCTTGCTGAAGTCAACAAATAGCGAGTACAATGACTGGTGTCGTTCGCTTGACTTCTCCTGCAACTGACGAGCCGCAAACACTATATCAATAGTGCTGCGACCAGAACGGAATCCCCAGTGCTCTTCCGCTGCCTTCTGTTCCACAGCCTGACTGGCACGACGGTTGAGCAGGGTTCGGGCAACCAACTTGCCCAAACAACTCAGCATGTTGATGCCACGATAATTCGTGCAACCTTGCTTGCCGCTTTGCTTTTGTACAGTGGTAGCATGAGAGCATCCTTCAGCTCAGGAGGCGCTTCTCCATTCAGCTATACACGTTGCACCATGTAGTGCAGCGAAGTCACCAACGCTGGTCCGCCGTTTTTCAATCCTTTAAGCGGGGTCCCTTCGGCTTCGCGCACTTGCAGTTTCGCAGCTGAGCCAGCGCCCTTAGAGTCCCATCCAGCGTTGGTGTGTCCAGCAGACACGGCTTCACATCGTGGTGCTTGAGGCCGTTTTATGCAGGACATACGATAGCTATACGGTTGTTAAAGGGACGGTCAAATTGTTCCCGCCAGAACTGTGTGCTGTCTGCAGTCTGAGTGCAGGTAGCGCATGAAATACCATCGATCGGCGTCCTTAGCTGCTGCCAACTCAGTTCATACACTGTCTTCAAGGAGTCAAATAGTTCTCTATGTTAGCGGCTTTCGGCGTGGCATTCCATCTGCGTCACCTTCTCCGTCCACCATGCACTTCCAATGAGACGGAGATCTCTATCAGTCGCCGTGGAACTTTGCAAAACTGACTATTCTTCCCCAAGTCCCTGGGGTCTGCCACATGTGCATCAAATGCTGCATCCCTCTCACATACAAATGCGCCAATCGTCGCATTGTTCTCATCAAACAAAGCAGACTGCTTACTGTTTGCGCGCAGGATGATCTCCTCGGCAGCAGCTGTCACCTGGGCGCCAATGCGGTGCCACAGGTAGCCCACTCTTGCTATGCAGTTCACCACACTCAGGCGTGCGGCCAACCCCCTTTTGCCTCAATACGGTTCGCCACAGTACCGAGCGAAATAATGTTAAATTCACGACGATTCATGACGGGCGTGCAAATGGAAAATTACGAAAATATGTGTACAGTTTAGTCCGCACCAATTTGTGATCAGTGCCTCACTCAGCTACACGCAGTAGACGTGTCATGCGCACTTCACGCATATCACGCTGACATACTATGACGTATTCGAGCGGGTGAAGGTGACAAATCTGTGGGTGCGTCCAAGTTGCTCTATCACTAGCACTCAAATAAAACCGAGTCCTCCTGATCCTCAGGTCGTGAATGCAATACTGCGAGAGCATCCGGTCGCCATTCGCATTCGCTGTACCAATGCCATGCTGTCTGATAACATCTGTACACACCAATGCATCTCACATTCTTGATTACGCATTGTTATGTCAAAATGATCATGCCTGTAAAGTCGTGCCTCGCCCTGTCGAGAATAAAGGCTTTATTTATTTAAAGCAACCATATTAAGGAGTCAGTCTCTGCTTGACACAGACCGTAACACAAAGGATAACTGCGTGTGGAAGTACTCACGCGTGTCATAAGGATAACACTTTTTTGGACCTTATGTGCTGACAATAGAAGCAAACGTACCTCTTCCGAGTCGTAGGCGAACAGTCATCATTCGCGCGCTGTTGCCAGTTTCTTTAAGCACGAGCTGGCCATGGATGCTATTGGATATTACAAAGCTGACCCCATGCTCACGTGTTGCTGAGGCGGCGTTGCCCGCCCAGTAGAACGTGTAGCCTGCACCCGTTTCATTCAACTTACCTGGCTCAGCGAGCCGGGTATCAATGAGCGCCACAGTGCAGTTGGTCGCTGAAGGCTCCCGATGGAGTTCCCGTTCAGTAGTGTGCGCACATTACAGCAACGGATGCTGTTTTGCTCCTAGACATGCGCTTGCTTTGATGGGCAAGCGCACGACAGTTGACGGATGTGCTGCGAAGTCTTGCTTGTGGGACTCCACCAGGATCATTTGGCTCAATAGCCTGACCCACAAGGCCTGGTCGGTGATTTGGAGGTTTACTTGGGGACTGCACCCAGCGTATTTGGCTGAACAGCCTAACCCCCAAGGCAGTCGGTGGTTTAAAATTTTGCTTAAGTGACTCCGCCCGGAGCCTCTGGCTCAATAACCTGACCAACAAGGCAGGGGAAGCGGATCCATTTGGGATTGTGAATACAGAGACAGCTTGGGATCTGCTTGACTGCCGTCATATGCAGCCTTTGAGGTACCGGAACGGTTCAAATATGTTTTGCGCCCGTACTAGGTTACTTACCTGCGACCACGGCCAGACGCATGTAGTTTTGGCGGGTATGTACCAAGTTGGCTAGGAACTGCCTGGATTGAAACAAACAGTAGCAAACCACTGAGCACCGGGAGGTGTCCGCACACCATCAGAGACGATGCGTGGCGCTCATGCTCTACGCTACTTGAGCTGCGAGCTAATAACCTGTAGACCTGTTGGCTCTCATGCCTAGGTTTTACGGGAACCAGGCCTTGGAATAATTCCTAACCACCGAGGAAGATGGACTAAGAAACTAGCAGGGCGCCCACACCTGACATTAGAACTATTCGGGTCCACAGCCAAAGCCTTCCATTAACTATACAAGCTAAAGGCAACGGGTGTAGGACCTGGTCGGTTTACTGACTCATGCGGACGGGTGTCCTGGATCTTGGCAGGGAGAAGGGCGTAACCCAAGCCCCTTCCAGCGGTCGCCATGAGAATTCGTCTAGCACGTGAGCCCATAGAATAACAGTAGCAACAGTGGGTAGATGATCTGCCAACTTCTAGCCACCACCAGCCTCAGCGCCACATAGGCACTCCTGCCACTAACATATAATAAAATAAAAACAGATGCACAAATGCAGTATGTTACTGGGTAACTTATTATATTTTTATGCAATTACCGACCATACCTGTTTGTATTGCCATCATCATACCTTTGCAGGCGTGCACCGCCTTGCGGGAAATGAAACGTTTGTTTACTTATAACTCTGAACCGCAAGTTTGGCTTCACCAAATTCCTATGATTAAAACGAGCTTGGCGCTGTCCAATATACCAGGGTTTGAAGATCTTGAATACTTTTGCGTATTGTTCGTTACTTTTCCATGGAATTATCGCTCAATATCATTTTGTAGGCTCCTCTTCAAACGGTACTGGGTGTCGTAGATATCCAGCGAATAAAATGGGTTGCTAGTCGACCTCTCGGGTCTGATCAATTTCTCATTCCTGCAAACTCTTGCACAACCCAAAAGAACAGCTTTAAGTGGTTATTCCACAGTGAAACCTGTTTTCGTCTTCGTTACTACGTTTACTGAGCTTGTGGGACCAAACATGTACGAAGGAATCATTCAACGGTTTTCTAGTTGCTGCTCACGTTGACTGCATTGTGGCCTAAAGCTCCCCGATCAAAGCTCTTCTTTCTGCCACAACGTTTTCTTTCTTGGGGGTAAAGATATCCGGTTCTAGGTTGCCTTCGGGCGTATTAAACGATGCGTCAGCTGTTTGTGGTAAAGCGAGTTGCTCAGGAGCAGTTACTTGTTCTTCGGGTGGTACGAAATATGACCTATGTAGTCGGTTTTATTAGGCTTGCACTGGATTGCATAGAGAACAGTATATCATCTTGGAAAACAGGGATTGCTGATTGATTTCACTGGTTGTGTTAAGTAAAAAGCATATCATCTAGTCCAAATTTACGAATTTGTTACCTTGGTGGATAGAGTGGGTACCTTTCTATATTTGTTTAGTTTATTAGAGGGATAATTGATCAACTCGTCGTCAGCCTTGAAGGTACATTAGTTCTCGGAACATGCGAGCGTTCAGCCGACTACCTAAATGGTACGGCTTCAAAGGATCCACTAACATTTAAAGCGGCGCCTACAGATGGTAACTATTCAACCGTTATGTTGCACTCAACTGTGAGTGGAGATGTGTTAAAGTCTAGTGTTTCTGCCAAGATAAATGGGCGAAAGATAAAGAAACCGATCAGTACAACGAAACTTAGCCTCCCTAGATGTGGTGCTCCACGAGCTAGGAAACTTGATTCCAAACATACTGCCACCCCTCTAGGTAACATCCACAGTGCAGGATTGATAGCAGTCAGGTAGCAGGAGCTGGCAGAAAGCAAACCTAATGCCATATACTATCAGCAACCACTCCGTTCCTTATATAGGCATACGGGGCTATTAATGTTGCCTCCGTCTGCTCGGTTAATAATTGTATTCTGCGGTCGTGCTCCAGTTGCTGTCATCGGACGCGCAAATGTTGTTGCGACATAATTGGGAATATCGCACTGGGATTGGAACAATATTTTCAGGTGAACAGTCTGGACTCACGTTGAGCATTCTGTCTGTACATTATACAGGTGTTGGAGCAGGTACTTTAGAACGACGGTTGTTCATCCCGTTGGGCCCTCTCTGTCTCAGCGGTTCGTAGCTTGGATTGATACCAATATGCAGGTTGGTTGCGTTTAGGGTTGAGAACCAGCTTAGAGAAACTCCCTTCCTCCTTGTGTTTTCCTTTGGTCACAACCTCTAATTTGTTGCAGTCGTAGTTGTGTCCCTCCTTATCATGTTGGGCTGAAACCACTGAGGTTACGGAATGTTTCTTGCGCGCACTTTGACATTCTTGTATACTTGTGGACAGCTCCCTACCCGTTTGCCTCAGTGAATTCCACAGTTCACGTGGTTTCTTCTATGAATAAAATTCTATCGTTTTAATGTCTAGCGTTTTCCTTTTTGTTTTAACTATGTTTTCCTCAGGGTGGCGTTTGGCTTGTGGGCTATCAGAATATGATGTTGTTTGAACAGTCTGGCTATCATTTCAGGTAGGTTCTTTATATACGGCAGAACAACACTTTTCGGCATAGCTTAGTTGGTATGGTTTTTGGGGCTTGCGGTTTATGCGCCTGCGGAGGAAACTGCTTTTGCACCCGTTGCGTTACAGGCACTTAAATCTGTGCGTTTTCGTCTTGCCGTTGCTTATTTTAACCTCTGGCTTCTGTTCAGTAGAATAGTTAGGACATCTTTGTTGCATTATAGTAACATTCCGTCACCTTGTTTAGTACGTATGCTTCCTGCTATTCCTTAATAGCAAGAAGTAACGGAGCGCAAGATAAAACATCTCCTGCGACAACCCGAGCTAAACGTAGGACTGTTGGGCCTAACCAGTCTGCATCCACCAACGACTGTTCTGTCCTCCAAGCTGGCGCTGTAATAACAACTTCACCTGTCATGGCATTGCAGAATACCGCGCATTCTTTTACTCGTATAGACAATGCATGCACTGCAAGGTAAAGAAATTGCAGCGTAGTGTTGGCTGCCCCACCAGTAGGATTACACACAAATATACAGCTCGTAGAAGACCTACTGACCATGCTAATCCAAGAACTTACCACTATTAACGTGACGCTGGCGATACCCGCCCTATTCCCTTGTCTTATGCACCATCACGAATCCTGTAACCTCAATACACTTAAAGCCGTCGGCAATTAATTGTTTTCTATCGCATCGGAAGTTAGTGAATGAGCCAAGTGTTCCAATAACGTAGTACGGTTCAATATCCTAGATAATCTTCCGCTAGAAAACTCAAACACCCGTTACTTACTGGCTGCAACCTGACACCTGACTCTTACACATGTGAACGACTGAGGAAGTGGAACAGAAAACGAAGCTGCTCAATTAGCTTCACCTTCGGCAGCCTGCAGCTTGCTGAAAGTTTTCTCATGATTACACGAGAAGGTGGACTACGTCTCAACCTCGTTCCGATCCTAATAAGCCAGAGGAGACTTCTTTACAAAAGGCGTCTGCGCTACCAAAAATGTCCAAAGTTAAGTCAGGTCAAACATGCGAAAGAGCTCTACTGTGGTTGCGACCGCGTGCACAGCTATTCACTCAGCGACACTTCCTAGTGTCGATCTTGACTTGTCCATGCAGCTCTCACCAAAGGTTTCATCAGTAATAAGCAACATCCAACGGGCATACAAGTGTCAACCTAGGAAAGTAACTGGCTCTACGCTATGGGGTTCACGCGAGTACACGGCATCCACCATGCGCATAGGAACACGCACGACTACCATTGAAATGCATGAAAATGGTCACGCGAACTTAAGGGCGTCTATACCTTGTGCGCTTGAAATGCTGTGCTTGCCACCACCACACCAGCTCCCAACATTACGTGGCATTCCTCTAACAAACCACGCCATACTGCCCATCCCGTCCTGACCCGTACGACGCACTCACAGAAAATTCATGACTGTACCAACTCTGGGATTGCTTACCCAGCGTCTGCTAATAGATTACCTGCCCGTCATTTCCCAATGTTACATACTTTGGTCACTGTGCGTGACAACTTGCTTGCTCAACTGCCAAAGAACATGTTAAGACCCGCAGCTCGCAACTACACAAGTCGCCTGAAGCGCACTACTGCTATGCGGCACACATTCAGGTGCTTACTGCAAACGAACTGGAATCGATGGGCACCGGCATTTGCCCTGGTTACGCCAACACATCGTCTTTAGGTTACAGTCAACGATACCCAGTTTCTGCTGTGACCAAACGCTCAGACTGCAACCTGCAACACCTTGACAACAACATGAACAGGGTTAATATGTTAACGCCTACGCATATGGCTGACGCTGAACACTCCCCGAACGAAACAGTACCCTAACCAACGTAGGCTTTCACCCTCCCTCCTTGCCCCATATCAAAACCAACCTCATCCATGGTACAGCTGTCTCCGACGCAACACACTGCCACTTGCAATTCTAAAGTCGCCTAACCACAACGCCTCCAGAAGCCATGGCCTCTGCGAAACAGAACGCAGCAAGGGAATACATTGAAGATGGTGTGTAATGCGCCAGTACCAATAACAGTCCTACAAACCAACTAATGGAATTTCATTGGCGACTCACCATGGGGTCCAATAAATCCGGCTTCTTTTACTGGGACCGTGTGAAAGTTCGCCCACACTCACAGTATCAACTTTTGCAGCACTTTATGCAAATTCCATCTCCAAATCTCTTTAACCTATCCCAAGCAGCACAACACGACTGGATTCCGTATTGTCGGTGCCTGCTACCGACTCCAAGTTGGTAAACTGCAAACCCATGCTCAATATGCTTCTGTCAAAATGATCTAACTTCACCCTGCTTCAAACGGAAGGCCACAGTAACCACCAACTTACACCTGTGACATCGCGTACAGTGCAGCCAAATCCGGACTCTCAGGTTGCTAGAGCCGAGTCCAAGCCCACAGCCACCTTTATGGAGTCGAGTGCCCTAACGGTTCGTCATCCATTTGAGCACATCAGTAACCAATAGGTCCTTTCTGCGCCTTCCTGTACTGCTGCTCTTCACGCGCTTCCCAATAGATCGTTGCCCTCCAGCAGCAAGTCACGCATTGAATCCAAGGTTGCCCTCCATCTACGCCGCACTGAAGCAGTTAATAGTATGATGAAATACCAATTGAAGCTGATCGATGACACTACGCGTCCTGAGGCGACAGCAGTCTCCTCGAGGAATGCCCCTGCAAACTTTGATCCCACACTAGGCACGATGATTGCCAGTCATCCTCAGTACTACTTCCTATCACTACTTGGGCTCACTCGCGTGAAGACTTCATCTTAACAACCCGTGCATTTCTCCTAACCTTTCCGCAATTCGCTTCTCGCCCACGAAAGCGCACTCTACACAAGGAAAAGAGCATTTGACGTTCCCATACGGCGACTCCTCAGGTTGCTTTAACCACAATGATACTGCCTCTCCAAATGCAGCTAACGGTCAGTGCCACTAAACAACTTATCCCGCTCTTATAAATAAATAAATAAATAAATAGGTATATTTCTAGACCTGCTAGAGGCTGCATCCTAAAGGGTTCAGATCAAGGCTTACGTTAATCCGATGCTCTTGCATGGAAGTAGGCAATATAAAAATATATGTTCATCGTTAGAAATTCCAAATGCATTGGCACTGTTTGGTATACAGCTACTGGGTATCAGGCGCCCACCTTGACGTTTTCTGGTTCCTTAGGGCGATCTTGTGCTCCTTGTTCTTTTATTGTGAAAAACTTCGCGGAGTTGTGCCTTTTCTCCTTGGAACAGAATCCATTTCGCCGAAAGTTCACTTTAACTTGATCGCACATTAATTGGCCACTCAGTTGCCCCAATCGTTGTTGCGCACATAGAAGAAATGAGTGAAGGGATTATAAGGCATACAAAAAGTTAAAAAAAAATTTCGATAAATGCAGGCAAGAATAGAAACAATTTGTTAAGAGAGTAAATAAATTCGCGCGCTTTAGTAGAAAAAGACCAATTAACAAAAAAATAGAGCCCTACTTTTCTTACGCTGATATTGCTCTCCGGCGCAAAATTTAAACCTGAGTTATTCTCAGATAAAAGAAAATGCCCTTCTACAGTTACAATACCGCCTAAAGTAGCACAAAATTGCACTGATCTGGACCAACTTTAGCGCCTGAATGCGCTGAACTTAAAAGCAACACAATACGTGCAGTATTTTGCGAGTTATTCGCCATTAAATGATGGTCTACGAATAAGGCCATTTTTATTTTTCGCTAAAAATGGCTTTCTGCTTTGCAAGCAGATAGCAGAAAAAAGAAAAAAAACATAAAAAGTAGGGAAGCGGCATATGATCTAGATGGGCGTGGCTATCCAGAAATGCTCTAATTAGCCCGTAATACCCTGCGACAACTACGGGCTGCGCAGGTGGCCGAAAAGTAAACTTTGTAGGCATACATGATAAATATATGCAAATAAGGGATGGTTTTGCGCGAAAACACTAGAAATCCAGCAAGGAATATTATATCTACATGGGAATTCAGGGGAGCCTGTAATTAACTCACGGTTAGAAGGCCACGGCATACCGTTTTCAGGGGATACTGAGCCACATAAACAACCAGTAAAATAGAGTTTAGCATTTTTTAAGCCTCTAAGCTTTACTAAAGCTTATAACAAGACCGCATGAGCCAGGTCATTGCGCGATCCATCAGCCATAAAATGCATCACATATTTATAAATCTCGCCGCTTTTTACTGAAACCTGGTATTCACCCCAAATGCCTGATTCGCCCCTACTCATTCCTATCTAACGAATATTTAGCAATGGCCGTGCTAACAACCGGGGTGGAGGTTGCCTCATTCACGTCTATGAAACCTTGGATGCTTTTGCTTTGATGTCGTTAATATTGGAAGTCCTGAAGATTCCATCTGGACTCAGTCACACGATGACCCTCTTGGCCTCAGTCTACTTAATGGCTGCGTCTATAACACCAAATATTCAACTAAAATTCGAGTAGACGAACTGGTTGAGCTCTTTCCCTGTGTGGCTGAACTCCCCTTCAGACATATGATAGTAGGTGAAAATTCCAATATGTCAAACATCCAATCGCACAACCAGACAGCACCTGCTCCCTACTAGTTATTTCTGAACACTGTCATAGCAGATGAATGGGTTCAAAACGTAACATACCTAATAGACTGTCCATTTTCCTTTACCTACTTTACATGTGGCCTCTCCTTGCGTAAGCTAGTGTTGTAGCGCCCAAAAAGATAACCCTTATCTTTCGTGTACAATTTACTTGTTGACCGATTGTACATTACTCCTGCTTGTTTTAATCTTACAACCGGCTCGACACACAACTGCCTTGTAAGTTCCCGCGCTCACGTGTACGCACTTGCCTCGCTTCATCCGTCCGCTTATTGTTGTAGCCCATCGAATACAGTCCGCTGTGTCCGACTCCAATTGCCTTCGGATATCCGCGCTTCATTCCGCGCATCGTCTCGGACTAGTATTGACTAGTCCTACAAATTGGTGACCCCGATTCGCACGCGCGAATTCAACTTTTTTTCTCGTTTATATTTTTGGTGAGTTCGTTCCTTTTTCTCGATTATATACGTATATTCATTTGTTTGTTGCGTAATTTTAGTACTTTTATCGTATTTCGTTCGTTCTTTATCTTTCGACTCACTTTTCGAGAGTGGTATCTGAGTCGTTTCACTGCGTAACCATGCTTACTTTGGCTGTTCCAAGTTTCATGGAACACAGTCCAGAAGTTTGGTTTAAGATATTCGAGATCGAACTAGAAAATAAGGGCATAACGGCGGACCGTCCAAGGTACAATCAGCTCGTCCCACGCCTTCCTCCGTCGGTAGTGACGCTGATTGAGGACATTCTACTCTGCCCATCGAATGAGGCAAAGTATGAAACGATGAAGCAAGCGATTTTGAAAGAGTTACGACCCAGCGCACGAACACGATTTCAGCAGCTCCATGGTCTCAAGCTTGGAGATCGCAAGCCGTCGGCATTGCTCAGAGAACTTCAGCGCATCGCTGGTCCCTTATTCTTGAGCGAAGAAGGGATAAAGGAGCTGTGGTTTGCACGTCTCCCAGAGCCATTGCCGGTAATGCTGTCCATGTTTATAGATGCACCCTTGAAAGACTTATCTACCAAGGCAGACGCTGCGTTCGAACGTTTTCCGCAGCAGACGACCAGTAACTCCGGTGACATATTCTCACCGATGAAAACCGAATCACATGTTTGTTCCCAGTCGCTAGACCGATCGGACTCTAAAGACGAGGAAATTGCGCTACCTCGCAGCAGGATAGCAGCAATGAAGGCTTCAAAGCAGTGTGTGCCACGGTCAAATGCTGACCACGTTTCGGCTACCGTTCATTGCGGCTCGTCTGTACCTGCACCGAGTACGTCACGTTCGGCACGAAAGCGCAACATTTTCCTTACAAGTTCTCAGTCAGATAATGTCAAGCCCGTCGAAGAAGTATGTTGGTATCACCGCCAATACGGTGGAAGAGCTAGACGTTGTCGGGCTCCCTGCATTAGGCACGACCCAGGGAAAACGAATAGCCCGCATACTAGCACTACAAACGAATCATTTGATAACCAAGTAAACCGACTGTTTTACGTTAAGGATCGACGTTCTTCCATCACGTTCCTCATCGACACGGGAGCGGAAGTCAGCGTCATCCCAGCGACCGCTAGCGACAAGCACTCGAAGCCTACGTACAATTTACGTGCGGCCAACGGTTCTCCGATAGCTTCATTCGGTCAGCGCATGATGAACCTAGACCTCAATCTTCGCCGAGATTTTCAGTGGGTCTTCATGGTTGCGTCTGTACCCTTCGCGATTATCGGTATCGACTTCCTCCGACATTTTAAATAAATAAATAAATAAATAAATAGTATATTCTCTGTAAAACGAGACACACCTCTAAAAGGCATGATCAAATATGCATACAAGCATAGCTTCTTTGGAATATTAAAACATTTCGTTACAATGAAAGGAATAAACGAAAGATGTAGTCCATAAGAGCGAGCATATTGTCAGGTAATAGTCAGACCAAGGATCATAATGGCGCCGTGGCGCGCAAAATCTGTTGCGTCAAGATACAAGTGGGGGGTAAATTTGACATGTAGTGATCCATGAGCACAGGAGCCTGAACAAGGTTTAGTGCAATCAATGACCATTACGAAGCCGGGATGATCGGTACTCCACTAAAGCATTCTTCATAGTAAAATCAGTTGCACAGGTTCGATGTTGGAGGCTGAGGACTGCGTCAGTGTGAAAGGTATAGCAGTGACTTTACTTTGTGGCGAGTCACATCCGCCACGTTGCAGTGTTGTTAAGCGGACATTTGTGGCTTTTTATAGGGAGAACGCTTGCCAGGCGAAAACCCACCACGTCCTGGAACACTGTCGTAGCTTCCGTTGAACTGTAGTGCTAGTCGGCTATACATCGTATAGACCGATTTTGCACTCTATTATTCGCAGTCGGTTGACAGCCAAAATTTTTCGTTGGTTGGCCAAATGGCTTAGTACTGAACCGGCAATAGTCGATGAAGCCAGTCAATGATGTAAAAGAGTCGCTGAGTCGAATGATAATGATGCGGGTGAGTAACCACATTGTTAATAGAGGCCGGCTTTTTCTATTATATTGTCCGGCTCGCAACCCGTGTCCAGCTATCCATGCTGGACTTGTCATAGGGACGGTGAGTGCAGTTGTTTATTGTGTCTGAATATGTCCGAAACAGGAATAAATGCTATTCTCCGCGAAGTGGACAAGTATTTCCTTCAAATGTAAGTGTAATTGTCTCCATAACCAAGTGAGAGCTCCAGGAAAAATCATCGGAAAAGCCGCTTATGCGCGCGCAGTGCTGTCCGTGAAATGACATCAGAAAAGCTCCAGGTGACTGGAGAATCGGAATGTTTGAGGCAGTGAATGTAATCACGCCAGAATTGTCAGTCTCCGGTTGTGGAACAGTAGATCCATGTAACTACATTATTCCAGGTGAGTAAATTGTTCTACTGTGAGTACGAGGCGAGCTAAACCCATTTGTTTAGACCCCGTGGTGGTAGCTTCTCCAGAATGGCGGAAAGAGCTCCATTTGGAACGATGTGTGGGTTCTTCATCTCCCGGAGTAAAGAACAAGCATGTAATCCAGCTGGCTATTGAAAGTGGGTCGACTATTCCCAGTGGATAAACCTTCTTGTTTTGGCGGATGTATCTGTGGAAATCTCGAGAGAAAACGGGCAACGGACAAGAGGCAGCCAAACAGAAAGACAGCAACGAAGCAAGAAGCACAAACACAGACTGGTGGCGCGCAACGGTGCCTATGATACATTAAAATTTATGTAATTTTGTTTAGTATACATGATTTGCAAGCGCGTTCTGTACATCACGTCGCTGGTGTGCCTCAGACTACAACTACTAGGTAGAAAGAAGGGTATAACAAAGCGTGTAGACAACGTTAAGCGATTAATATGATTATTGGAGAGTAACAGGTAAACCGATGATGATGACAGCAGACCGAATGCGAGCGGCATCTTAGGTGAAACTAAGGACAACAAGGTTGAGACCGAATGCGGGAGCAACATGGGTAAAGCAACGTTCCAAGAAGAAAAGGAAATTTAAGGAATCAGCTATGAGCGGAAGAATGCGGACGGCAGTGCGAAGAGTAACTCATGAGAGCAATTAAGAGACGATAGTCAGGATGAAAAAGGTTTACTACTAAAATGTGGTGAGCCAAGGACGCTCTCGTGCGAAGTATGAAACGTTCAGTGCTGAAATAGCACCGGTAATATCCCGGTAATCTGAGAGAACTCTAAAAGCCGGAGACCAAACAGACGAGATTCGAGAAGTCGACACATCCGGAGGCCTCGTAGTAGTCCCAGAAAATTACACTGATCAGATGATGACAAAGAAGGGCATGGCACTAAGCGTCGGTCATCCGATTGAAGATGTGAGAGTACAGGTTACTGATGGAAGTGCCTATATTAATAAAGGGTAAACAAGTCTAGCGTGCTGTCAATGTAAGCAAGACATAGTTGTGAGTCTAGAGAGATTAGCTCGGTATATCTTGCTAGTCTGGAAAAGGTCAAAGGAGCATACCGGTCAGATGAGACTAGGTTATTACAAGGCACTAAGAGTTGGCAGTCCGATTAGAGAAGAAATGATAGTAGAGGGGCCATAAGGAGAGGAGACGGTCCGGATAGAGAGAGGTTTACTTATAAGGTGTGGAAAAGTCCACGGGGCTCGAGAGGTAATAAGCACGGAGCGTTCAGTCTTCCGAGCATAGCAGGCAGCGTCGCAGAAGTAGGAGAGAAGAAGACCGAGCTGCCGAGGTTGGACTTGGTCGGCGCATTGTGATTGAGTCCTATGGTTCATTTGGGAAGGTAAGTGGAGTCAGTAGGATCGGACTGGTCAGAGATAAAAGTGGTTATATCAACATAGGGCGGACAAGTTCAGCAGGATATCAAGGTGAGGGAGGAAGTGCTTTGGATCGACGGAGCCTAGACCGCTAACATCCCGGTAGCCTGGTAGCAGTCCCATAGAGTTTGGCTGATCAGCTGAGGCTGAGTGACGGATGACAGAGACTCAATCGTCCGATTGAAGAATGATTGGATACGAACGGCGCTGTCATCTGAACGAGGGCTAGTAATGTCACAGGAGTCTGAGAGAAGTTGGAAAGCAGGAGACCAAACAGACGAGACAGGATTAGTCGGCGAAACGATATTGAGTCCAACAGCTAATATTAGGAGGGCAGATGGAGTGGGTCGAGAGGTGGAGGTGACTATATAAATAGAGGGTGAACAAGTCTAGCAGGCTGTCAACGTAAGTGCGATATAGCTTGAGTCTACAGAGTCTAGACCGTTTAAACGTTGCTGGTCTGGAAAGGGTCAAAGAAGCAGACCGGTCAGATGAGACTAGGTTATTACAGGGCACATAGTTAGCAGTCCGATTAGAGAAGGTTTGAAAGTAGAGAACGTCATAAGGAGACGGTCCGGATAGGGAGAGGTTTACTTATAAGGTGTGGAAAAGTCCATGGGGCTCGAGAGGTAATGGGGACAGAGCGTTCGCACTTCTCATTCAATGCCGGTAACGTCACAGCAGTCTGAATGAATTCGGAGAGCAGGGGACCGATCAGACGAGACTGGATTAGTCGGCACACTTAGAGTAAGTAGTACAGTTGAGGTGGGAAGGTAAATAAAGAGTCAGCGGAGACGGATGGGTTGGGATGCAAGAGGCTAAATGAATATAAGGTATGCAAGTCAGGCAGGCTCGCAATGGGAGAGAAGTTGTGTGATGGTGATACAGAGCCTGAAACTACATTTCGCTAGTTAGGAAGCAGTCAAAGAGGATAATAGGGCAGGGCTCTGAGAGCTCGCTATGCGGATGAAGAAGAAATAGAGACAGGCCGCGATAAGGAGAGGACAGAGTTGAGAGTTTACGTTTACGGATATGAAATACGACAGTTAACGAGGCTCTAGAGGTAATGGTGACAGAGCATTCAGTCTTCCGAGCATAGCAGGCAGCGTCGCAGAAGTAGGAGAGAAGAGGACCGATCTGCCAAGGTTGGACTTGGTCGGCGCATTGTGATTGAGTCCTATGGTTCATTTGGGAAGGTAAGTGGAGTCAGTAGGATCGGACTGGTCAGAGATAAAAGTGGTTATATCAACATAGGGCGGACAAGTTCAGCAGGATATCAAGGTGAGGGAGGAAGTGCTTTGGATCGACGGAGCCTAGACCGCTAACATCCCGGTAGCCTGGTAGCAGTCCCATAGAATTTGGCTGATCAGCTGAGGCTGAGTTACGGATGACAGAGACTCAATCGTCCGATTGAAGAATGACTGGATACGAACGGCGCTCAGTCATCTGAACGAGGGCTAGTAATGTCACAGGAGTCTGAGAGAAGTTGGAAAGCAGGAGACCAAACAGACGAGACAGGATTAGTCGGCGAGACGATATTGAGTCCAACAGCTAATATTAGGAGGGCAGATGGAGTGGGTCGAGAGGTGGAGGTGACTATATAAATAGAGGGTGAACAAGTCTAGCAGGCTGTCAACGTAAGTGCGATATAGCTTGAGTCTACAGAGTCTAGACCGTTTAAACGTTGCTGGTCTGGAAAGGGTCAAAGAAGCAGACCGGTCAGATGAGACTAGGTTATTACAGGGCACATAGTTAGCAGTCCGATTAGAGAAGGTTTGAAAGTAGAGAACGTCATAAGGAGACGGTCCGGATAGGGAGAGGTTTACTTATAAGGTGTGGAAAAGTCCATGGGGCTCGAGAGGTAATGGGGACAGAGCGTTCGCACTTCTCGTTCAATGCCGGTAACGTCACAGCAGTCTGAATGAATTCGGAGAGCAGGGGACCGATCAGACGAGACTAGATTAGTCGGCACACTTAGAGTAAGTAGTACAGTTGAGGTGGGAAGGTAAATAAAGAGTCAGCGGAGACGGATGGGTTGGGATGGAAGAGGTTTTATGTATATAAGGCATGCAACTCAGGCAGTCTCGCAGTGTGAGAGAAAGGTGTGTTGGTGAAGCAGAGCCTAGATCTGAATTTCTGTAGTCGAAGAGGATAATAGAGCAGGGCACTGAGGGCACGGTCTCCGGTTTAAGAAGAAATAAAGGCAGAGCGCGATAAATAGAGGACTGAGTCGAGAGTTTACGTTTACAGATAAGAAATGCCATAAGGAAAGCAGGCGGTCCGGATATTGGGAGGTTTACTTATAAGGTGTGAAAAAGTCCATGGGGCTCGAGAGGTAATGGGGACAGAGCGTTCGCACTTCTCATCCAATGCCGGTAACGTCACAGCAGTCTGAATGAATTCGGAGAGCAGGGGACCGATCAGACGAGACTGGTTAAGTCGGCAAATTGAGAGTAAGTCGAACAGTTAAGGAAGGAAGATATATAAAGAGTCAGCAGAGACGGATAGGTTTGGGATGCAGGAGGCTACATGAGTATAAGGTATGCAAGGCAGGCAGAAGTCTGAGAGAAGTTGGAAAGCAGGTTGCATGCTGCGGTTGCCCGGACAAATGGTAGCACCAGCTCCATGTACTTCCACTTTTGACTACGGAAGTTACACTGACCGATTGGCTCACCAGATGCGTGAGCTACGTCCACCCGCTCCTCGATCGCAGAAGACACCAGTGTACGTGCCCGAGAAGCTGTTGACGTGTTCACACGTCCTTCTTCGCGCAGAGGGTGTTCGACAGCCTCTTCAGTCGCCGTACATAGGACCCTTCAAGGTGCTGCATCGTGCGACTAAGGCGTACACTATTGACCGCGGTGGTCGACACGAAGTCGTCACCACCGACCGTCTGAAACCCGCCTTTATGGAAGAAACTACCTCGCCTACTTCATCTAGTAGTGCCTCGTGCGACGTCACAACTCACCGTACCAATTTTCCGCATGCTAATGAAGTCCAACCAGACCACGATCACGGTCTGCAAGCTTCAGCAATCCCGACATCACCCGAACCTAGTCCACCGCCTCCCACGACCAATCGCCGTGGTCGGGAGGTACGTAAGCCCGTTCGCTTCTCCGACTATGTACAGTGTAAATACTTTTAACTTTGTAGATATTGTATATATTTGTCTCATTTCTGGTCGATTAACGTTTTGAAAACAAACAAAAATATCAAAAAACCCCGAAAAACCTTTTTCGAAAAAAATATTCAAAAACCAAAAAATATTTAAACACGCAGCTCATTCGTTTGTTCTTTTTGGCGTTTTCTGCGCTTGCTTTTTATTTTCTCGTCTTTACATGCCCCAACCCTCCCCTTCGATCGACTGGCCCACACGAGGAATGTTTTCGAGGACCCTGACGCGGACACTGGTCGCTTCTCCGCGGGACTAGGATCGCTACTCCGCGGGACGAGGATTGCTTCTCCGCGGGACGAGAATCGCCTCTTCGCGGGACGAGGATCACTTCTCCGCGGGACGAGGATCGCTTCTCCGCGAGACGAGGGTCGCTTCTTCGTGGGACCATGGTCGTTATCTTCGTGGGATGAGGGTCGTTTTGGCGCGGGTCGGGGTGCGGCGGGGGGAGAGACCACTCCCAAGCGCACCGTTTGG